CTGCGCGTCCGGAGCCTGTGCTCCGCAACGGGAGAGGCCACAACAGGGAGAGGCCCGCGCACCGCAAAAAAAAAAAAAAAAAAGAAATATTAAAAGCAGGCCGTAAAAAATGAAGAAATGAACCACTTCATTTTATAACAAAAAAATGACTAATTTTCTGCTCCACAAACCAGATGTCATCTACTTCAAATGTGAAATACTATTTAAATATATCTGAGGAAAAAAAATTAAAAGTAAATGCTAAAAAATCTTGTTGGAAAACACACAGGAAAGAATCAGTTAACCTTTCTTTAAGTAAAATCTAATGAAGAGAAAGACGCTACAAGTTTTTTATTGTAACATCTTTTTTTAAAAAATAAATTTATTTATTTTATTTTTGGCTGCGTTGGGTCTTTGTTGCTGCGTGCGGGCTTTCTCTAGTTGCGGTGAGCGGGGACTACTCTTCGTTGCAGTGTGTGGGCTTCTCATTGTGATTGCTTCTCTTGTTGGGAGCACCGGCTCTCAGTGCGCGGGCTTCAGTAGTTGTGGCATGCGGGCTGAGTAGTTGTGGCTTGCGGGCTCTAGAGCACAGGCTCAGCAGTTGTGGTGCACGGGCTTAGTTGCTCTGTGACATGTGGGATCTTCCTGGACCAGGGCTTGAACCCGTGTCCCCTGCACCGGCAGGCAGATTCTTAATCACTGCGCCACCAGGAAAGCCCCCTATTGTAACATCTTTTATTTAAACTCTTTCAAATAATTATTGTTAAAACATGCCTGTTATTTATGTGTCAAATTCTAAGGAAATGGAACTAAAATACTATTTCAAAACCAAAATATTAACATCACATATCTATCATCTATAAGCCAAATTATTTGGGAAAATACTATGAATTAAATTATAGTAAAAAACACCTGAAAGTGTTGTTCAACTTCACTGTGCTAATACTGTCTTTCATTAGTACTGCCTGTACTAAATGGACCCAGCTGGGTTTAAAATCCTTCCAATTAGTTATTCTAATATTGCTGTGGCAGTAAGACAATTACAATGAAAATTTTTTATAGCAAAAAAGGTACCAAAACATATAGATATTTCTCAATATTTTTCTTTCTAAAATACTGAAGGTATATATATGCTAGATACATATTTCTATACTATATATTTAATATAATATTTAAAAAAAGAGACAAAAGTTAAAAGAAAATCAAGAACATACCTGTGGAACATTCTTTATAATAGGCACTGGCTGAATTATGGGTGAAACATCAGATTTAGAAGCAGCAATTGGTTCAGCTGGAGCTGATATATTCAGTGGTCCCACTCTCTCATCTTGATTGTTTATCAATTCTATGTTTTCATTGACTTCTGTAGGAGGTGTCATCTGGGCAGTAGGTTTAGAAGGAACTGATTCTTCCAGTGAGGGGTAAGTAAAATCCACTAAAATCCCCAAAAGAATAAAAATATTTTTGAAAGAAAAGCAAACCCCATAAACAGTACTTCATATCTCATGCATGTTATATGTGATAGTTAAATGTAAACTAAGATGTGACAGCCACACAGCCTTAAAGAATTAATAAACATGAACTTCCAGGATGAGGACATCTTGTATTTTTATGCCTAAAAGCAAACTGCTATCTGACAGGACAAATGCAAACACAACCAAGAACATTACCCTGAGAACATAAATAAAGTTTATTTTACCGAAGCAATTTTAAACAAAAATTTTCACATACATACATGAGACAGACACCTCTTCATTCTTGCCTCGTGGGGGTGGAGTGACTTTAGCATTTGTTGTATACTGTGGATAACAAAGGAGCCAATTTTCATAGCCTCCTTCTAAAACCAAAGGCTCATTGTGCAGGACAGTTTTACTTTCCCACTATAAAATAAGGAAATAGTATGTTTAACATGGAGGCAGCCTCTTGACAGCTAAAAACACAACAAAACTGAAAATTGCTCTTAAAAGATTCATCTTCTAAATGATTAAAAAAAAGAGACAGCTGAATTCAAAATTCAGCATTAAGTGAAACAAATGGATAGATCAGGTTTTTAAAACCACACGAGTAATCCATGATCTTAGAAGAAAAATAGGAAAACAACTTAATATACAATAAAAATTTTCTATAACCTCATCACCCAGAGATATCACTTTAACATTTTAGAGTTTATTTTTACAGTTTTCTACATAGACATACTTCTTTTTAAATTTTATTTTTATAAAACAATGAAACTTATGCTGCTTTTCTCTTACATGAACATCTGTTATTAATAAAGAACTATCTCGTCATCTGTAATGAACAGATAATACTGTATTTTATACAGACATACACACACACACACGCCAAAACTGAATCAATCATTTGAACAATTATTATTTTTCCTATTTAATTATAAACAATGCTGAGATAAAAACTAAAGATCCTCATACATGTACATACCCAATCAACTCCATTAGGGAAAATCCCCACAAGTGGAGCTGCTAAGCCAAGGGTCATGAACATTTTAAGGCTTTTAATGTATATTGCTAATCTCTGAAATGATCTTTTAAAAATGTTTGTGTATTCTGTACAATAATTTCCTAGGAGAACTGTTGGCTTACAAGTTTGGTAGATGCCATCAAACTGCCCTTCAAAAAGACAATACCAATTTACACATTTACCAACAGTGTATGAGAATGTCCATTATAAGTCTTTATAATTTTTATCAAACTGGTGGACATAAAGTGGGTTGTTTTATTTTATTTTATTAATTAATTTATTTATTTTGGCTGTGTTGGATCTTCATTGCTGTGCGCCGGCTTTTCTCTAGTTGCAGCGAGCAGGGGCTACTCTTTGTTGCGGTACGCGGGCTTCTCATTGTGGTGGCTTCTCTTGTTGCGGAGCACAGGCTCTAGGTGCGTGGGATTCAGTAGTTGTGGCACGTGGGCTTAGTTGCTCTGCGGCATGTGTGATCTTCCTGGACCAGGGCTTGAACCTGTGTCCCCTACATTGGCAGGCAGATTCTTAACCACTGTGCCTCCAGGGAAGCCCAGGTTGTTTTAATTAGTACTTATTTGTGAAGCTGAACATATTTTAATATGTTTATTAACCCTTTATAGTCTATGGCTTAACTAATCTCATCTTTTGCCCATTTTTCTATAGAATTTGCTATTTTCTTGGTAAACAGTGAATGTACTCTGAATATTAAGTAGGTCTTTGTCATATTTGTTACAAATATTTTCCCTTAATTGACTTTTTACTTTATTTGTGGTGTTTTTAACATGGTCAAAAATATTAGCCTCTTGGTTCAGCATCAAGGTAATAAAAACACTTATCAGGGGCTTCCCTGGTGGTGCAGTGGTTGAGAATCTGCCTGCTAATGCAGGGGACATGGGTTTGAGCCCTGGTCTGGGAAGATCCCACATGCCGCGGAGCAACTAGGCCTGTGAGCCACAACTACTGAGCCTGCGCGTCTGGAGCCTGTGCTCCGCAGCAGAAGAGGCCGCGATAGTGAGAGGCCCGCGCACTGAGATGAAGAGTGGCCCCCGCTTGCCACAACTAGAGAAAGCCCTCGCACAGAAACGAAGACCCAACACAGCCAAAAATAAATAAATAAATTTAAAAATAAAAAAAAACAAACAAAAAACTTATCAATGCTTTTTCCTAGTAGTTCATTGTTTGAATCAACATATTTATATCTTTTACCCATTTGGAATCTAGTGTGGTCTAAGAAATAAGGTAGGGATCCCCTTTCTTTTACTTGCTGGCTAGCCAGCTGTCCTCAAACCAGTTATTTCAATCCATCTTTTCCTCACTGATCTGTTATGTCATCTTTACTATACACTAAACTTTCAGGTAACTTTATGAAGCTGCCACTTTTTTAGGTCAAATCCCCTACACACGAACCTTCAAGTCGCAAACTTTCAAAGATATAAATGTACATTCCATCAAAGTCAGGCATGAGTGAACTTGCATCTTGCCCTCCGTCTCCTATTGCTGACGATCCTTCTGCTCTCGCATATCCCACCTCCTCTCCCTCCTCCAGTCAGTAACTCTTCTTGCCTGTTCACTCGATGCCAGCCCCTGTATGCCAGCTGTTGTGTTATACTACTGAACTTTTCAAGGTACTGTACTGTAAGATTAAAAATGTTTTCTTTATTTTTTTGTGTTTGTTTTTTATGTAATACTTGTGTGGAAAGTATTATAAACCTAATACAGTACAGCACTATATAGCCAATTGTATTAGTTGGGTACCCAGGCCAACTTTGTTGGACTTACAAACAAATTGGACTTATGAACACGCTCTTGGAACGGAACTCGTTCGTATGTAGGGGACTTAACTGTAGTTGAATATTGGCAATCTCACATGTTGGCCTATATCTGGGTATATTTCTAGATTCCTTACTTTGAAGCATGATTTGTTTCAAGGCTTTTAAGATTACTCTCCTGAAGGGCAATGTTCCATCAATTGACCCTCCTACCAGCAGACTGCGTTTTATACTTAACCATGCTCACCAGCATTCAGTGCTATTATTGTTTAATAATTTAACAAATTAAACCGAGTATTATTTTTTATCTTTGTTAATTTGATCATGAAAGTGGCATTTACTGTTTCAATTTGCATTTCTCTGATTACTAGTCAAGTTGACATTTTTATGTTTTTGTCACTTGCATCTTCTTCTGTTCACGTCTATCTGTGTCCACTGTTTATTTCAGCATTTTATCTTAAGTAATTTTCTCATTTATTTGCAAAAGCTCTTCAGATTTCAGGTGTTCTAAATCACTGCCATATTTGTTGCAAATTTTTTTTTTATCTTCTGCCTTCAAATCTGGTATTTTTTTGCACACCTAAGTTTTTATTTTATTAAGTCAAATCTATCAATCTCTTTTTCCTTAGTGGCTTTTTCTTTGCCTTTATGTTTCATAACAAAAAATAACACTTTTTTCCAGACAATTTATGTTTTGGAAAATTCTAATATCCTACTTTATAAAGATCAGTTTATTGTTATTGGGTGAGTCAAAACTGGTCTTTTAAATCTGAATTTTTTAAAAGTCTACAACCAAAGCATGTCGGATCTTCATGTCCTTAAGATAATCAACTAGTCAACATACCTTTCTAACAACCAGAGAAGGCTTGCAATTACAGTAAACTAACAAGGAAACTTGCTAACCTTGAAAAGTGCATCTTTCAGACTCCGCAGAGTTGTTCCAAGTTGTAAATCTTTTGCAGTACTAAACCAGTCAAGAAGTACCACATAATCCACATTCCCTCTCTTCTTCCATGTGTCTTTAGAATCATCTGGGAGGTTTGCTTCAATCCAACTAGCAGTGACTCTGAAATGTATTAACAGTTGTATTGGGGCAAAAGTAGATGAGGGGTCCTAACATACTAATATAAGACACTGAGTTTTGTTCTTCAGTCTTTATCATACCATAGCAAACGTTTTTTTTGCTTGTTTTTTTTTTGTTATTTTTTGGCCATGCTGCGGGGCTTATGGGATTTTAGTTCCCCGAACAGGGATTGAACCAGGGCCCTCATCAGTGACAGCCTGAAGTCCTAACCACTGGACTGCCAGGAAATTTCCCCATACCATAGCAAACTTTAAGACAGCTTCCTTTCTAAGGTCAGATTGTATGTTAAGATAGTATATAGCCTAAAGTGTTTAACACCTTTACCGCTGCATAATATTGGAATATATTTTAGTAATTATTAAAGACTGAAATAAATAGACTCAGTTGACCCTTTATGTAAAAAAAAAAAAAAAAAAGGGCCAAAAATGAAAACACAGGAAGTCATCTGAGTATGTCTCAGCCAAATATAAATAATTGGGGGGGGGGCACCTGGGTAACACTGTTTATATTTCAGTTCTCTTATACCTATAGAGATAATTAATAGTTAACCAAATACCAAAATGCTTATTTAACAAACACATACAGCATTTACTATGTGCCAGGTGCTATTCTAAATGTTGTATTCTCATTGACTCTCACTAGATCCTCACTACACTCCTATAAAACAGGCATTATTATCCTCATTTTATAGATGAGGAAACAGGCCCAAAGAGGTTAAGTAACCTACCCAAGGTTACAGTTGCCAAGTGGAGCCAGAATTCAAATTCAGGCAATCTGGCTCACGTCTATGCTCTTAGCTGTTGTGCTGTGCTGCCTTCTACATCATCACCTGTGAACAATACCAACTCTACATTAAATCATGCTGTTAACGTTCTCCTTCACTCACACAAAAGCTTAAGTTCTTACCTAAAGGCCTTCCCATGGCCCGATGCATGCCCCCTCTCTCCAGTCCTATTACTTCAACTTCCTCATCACTAGTTACTAACTTACTCCCCCTTTCTCCACTCCACCCTTGGCTCCCTTGTAATTCCTGGTTTATGCAGGTATGCGCCTGCCTAATTACCTCTGCTCCTACTGTCCCCTCTGTCTGGAACCCTCTTCCCTCAGATAACTGCATCACTCATTTCCCTTATCTCAAGATTAGCTCAGGAATAACTTCTCCATGAAGCCTTCATGGATTAAAAATTTCAATGCTCACCCCAACATACACACTTGACACAACCATCTCCATAGCACTTATCAACAGCAGATACACATTTTAAGATTTATTGCTGGGGCTTCCCTGGTGGCACAGTGGTTAAGAGTCTGCCTGCCGATGCAGGGGACACGAGTTCGTGCCCCGGTCCGGGAAGATCCCACATGCCGCGGAGTGGCTGGGCCCGTGAGCCATGGCCGCTGAGCCTGCACGTACGGAGCCTGTGCTCCGCAACGGGAGAGGCCACAACAGTGAGAGGCCCACGTACCGCGAAAAAAAAAAAAAAAAAGATTTATTGCCTGTCTCACCTATCCCACCTCCCTGTTAAAACAGAAGCTCCATGAAGCAAAAATTTTTGTCTGTTCAATGATTTAGCCGCGGCACTTAGAACCACAGTAACTCAGCCCATAATAAGTGCTCAGTAAATATCTGCTGAATGATGGAATGAATAATACAGATCTGCTCCTCCAGGAAAGGAACTCCATATTATTCCTAGCAAAGCACCTAGGTATTTCAGGTATTTAACTGGTGATACTGGCAAGCTGGGCAGAAACTTGTATTCTAAGTAAAACTAAATGGTTTAACTAATTGAAGGGGAAAAAATCCTGTTCCTACATAATAATGTTGGTTACTGTACCTTCTAGGAAATAAAGAAAATAAAAAGAAATATACTGTTTCGTGGGGTTCCCTGGTGGCGCAGTGGTTGAGAGTCCACCTGCCGATGCAGGGGACATGTTTTCGTGCCCTGGTCTGGGAAGATCCCACATGCCGCGGAGCGGCTAGGCCCATGAGCCATGGCTGCTGAGCCTGTGTGTCCGAAGCCTGTGCTCCGCAACGGGAGAGGCCACAACAGTGAGAGGCCCGCATACCGCAAAAAAAAAAAACAAAAAAACACTGTTTCGTAATAAGTTTCCCTTGATATATAGAGATTAGAAGGATGCTTGGTCAACAAAGAATGTGGAAAAGTTGAGACATGATATTCTTAAGGACAGTTTCTGACACTAAGGATATACTTGCCTAAATCACTCTGTCTAAAAACTCAACATTAGTATTCTGCAGAATACTAGTTTGGGAAACAATAATATCAGTCAGTACTCCCCAAACTTCAGTCTTTCATGTAACCCCTTCACAAGCTGCTGAAACTCTGCTCTACCTTGTCTACTGTGTAATGTTTTAATTTAATTATTTAACTGAAAGTGATCCTTTACTTAAATTTGTTTTAACAGGAAAATGTATATTCCTATACACATGGAAAATAGCATCATATCCAATAAATAAAGGATAATCCTAAAAGTAAATAAAACAGATCAGTAAATTATGCTATGTTCACATAATAGATCACCATATAGCAATGAGAATAAATGAATTACAACTACACACAATAATATACATGACTCTCATAACATAAGGTTGAGTACAAGAAGCCAGACATAAAAGACTTTAGACTGTATGGTTCCGTTTATATAAACTACAAAAACAAATCTATTCTGTTGGTGGTTCCCTTGGGTGGGTGGGGATAAGTGTAGCCACTGACAGGTGGCATAAGAGAGGCTTCTGCAGTGATGGTAATGTTCTGTTTCTTGGTCCAGATGCTAGGTAAATGGATGCATTTAGATTTTGAAAACTGGGCTAAATACTGAGGATAAGAGTGATTTTGTGTGTATATTATGCTGTATTAAGATTTTAAAACAGACAATGAAAAACTAGTAATATAGTATTTACCATCAGCTAGCTGAAGATACTTTTGCCTACAGTGAGCTCTGAGGCCTGCTCTCTGGTAAGAAAGGGATATTATCAAATACTAAAAAGGAACGCTAGCACCAAACTGAAACTTCTTTTACCTAATTCAGAAGGACTGAAACAAAAGGTAATAATTTTCTTGGTATTTCATCTTTTCATATTTCTTGGCAATTCATCTTCAATCTTCAACCTAAACTCATCTTGAGTTTCACATTAGTCAAATTCTCACATTTTGGGAAACAGTTAATAAAAGTCACCAGCTTTCTGTCAGTAAAGATTAGATCATCAAAGATTAATCAACTTTCTCTTTTCAAATCCTGGAAATATATTCATACCTACTTGATTAGACTATGCACCCTCATCTCATTTTTTTTTCCTTTTAAAATTTTTATTTTATTTAAAAAAAATTTCTTGTTTTTCTTTTTTAAATTTTTTGTTTTCCTTTCTAATCTCATTTTTAAATAGCATACTTACAAAGCACTTTATTCTTCAGGTCAAACATTCATAAGCCTTGGCAATATGCTAAAAACTATGAAAATTTTATTACTTAACTTTAAAAATATATCTTTTTAAGGTTGCTTAAGTTAGTACTGGAATGGACCATAGATTTTAACCAATCCAGTCCCATAAACTAAGACCTAGAGAGGTTATATAATTTTTATAACACTCGTAATAGTTGAAAATAGCCCTGGACTGGAGTTTTAGCCCTATCACTATTATGATAGTTTTTAATATACCATATATTCATGCAAGTAACTTTAAATTATTTTATAGGTTAAAGGCCTTCTTATCGAAAAAGAAAGAAAAAGGTATTTTTTTTAGTAAGTCTTACTAATGCCAGGCACTGTGTTATCTGTGTGCATAAATAAAATTTGTCATTTAAACTTTTCAAAACTTCTGAGATAGGTACTATCATTATTCCCATTTCACAGATGGAAACATGGGCTTAGAGAGGTTAGGCCACTAGCTAGAAGTAATGTAGCTAATAAGAGACGGAGTTATAATATATAGTCTGAATATAGTCTGATTTTAGAGCCTGTATTTTTTCTTAATCACTTAGCTATCCTGCTTCTTCTTCGAAAAAGTATTTGTGTAATCTTTTACCACAGATAATAGTATGGGGAATTTCAAAATAGGAAGCAATTCAAATAAAAAATAGCAGGAGAAATTAGTCAACAAACACCTGGGGAAAGAGGACACACAAGGGAGTTTCATTTCTCTTCTAATAAGACTCCAAATGCCACAGATAAGAAAAACCAGCCAAACTGGAATGTCCTTTAGAGTACCCTTCAGAAAGGGTAAGGTGTGCCACTAAGGAGTAAAGAATGAAAAGGTCCACATGAAAAGAAAAGACTACTTTATCACATTTAGCTTGGATGCTAAGTAGTAATATTTACTACTGTCCACAGTTTACCATTTCATCTAAATATATAGCGACCCACCCTGGACTGATGGCTTCTTCAGGAACACTGAGAGAATTTGAAATATGGGAATCCAGATAATCCTGCATTCTTCGAGCATCCATTATAATCAAGCTGATGTTTTTATCCATCCTCATTGTGTAAAGCTCCTTTGCTGTGATTGCTCCTTGGAATCGAGAGAGACAATATAAGTGACAAGAAACACCTAGTTCCGTGTGCTATTATATCACTAAATACAGGACAAGCATAGCTTTTCCTAGAAGTGTCATATACTTGCTATTCTGTCATATTATTTATGAGCTTTTAAACTAATTTTAAATACAATTTATGTTTTTGACATTTATCAAAAAAACTAGTTCAATGCTTTGTTTATAAAGACTTAAATACCAAAACTTGCTGGTGATGTTACAACTACACCTGGTGTGGGCTCTGCTGCTGTATAAAATAAATTAGTATGTGTGTCTCATGAAAATATTCTATTTTAAAAAATCAAGCTATTTGAGAAATGTCAACCAGAAGAAATACCTGTGGTTCAAAAGTTCTTGAAAGGCTCTAAATTCATTTTTAAAAGTCTCCATGGGAGGGCTTCCCTGGTGGCGCAGTGGTTGAGAGTCTCCGCCTGCCGATGCAGGGGACATGGGTTCGTGCGCCGGTCTGGGAAGATCCCACATGCCGCG